GGCATGAGCGGCCAAGGCATGAGCGGCCAGGGAATGGGTGGTCAAGGTAATGGTGGTAGCTCCTCTGGATCCCCATCGGGCCAGGGCAGCAGCGGTGGACAGTCTGGCGGAGCATCAGCATCATCATCAGGTCAAGGACCATCTGGCAGCTCATCAGGATCCCCATCGGCTGGTGGTGGATCATCCTCACAAGGAAACATGGAGGGCAGCTCTATGGGCCAGGACGGTTCCAAGGGTCAGGACGGCCAAGGATCTTCATCATCAGGAGAGGATGGAGGTTATGACGCTGAGGGAGACTATTATTATGAGGAAGAGTAAGCCAGAATAAGGGAATACGTGTGAGCACACCACAGAGTGCAGATTTCTAGTGTAATGACATCTTAATACATGACTTGTCCGAACGAGCCTTTCAACCCCGCATCTTTGTAGTGAATTCTTGCAAGTGGTGGCCGAAGCCGATGTCATTGCTGGCAAGGCTTCAGTCAATACACTCTCCGCTCAAAATTGACGTTCGATGGGTACAAATGACCTCTTGGTTGTGTGAGACCAAGATTCGAATGGAGTCAGCGATGAGGTGTTCGAGACTGGTAGGATATTGTACCCGAACCAGAACCTGGTAACGAGGAAGGGAAACGTGAGTGGATACTGCAGTGGACATTTTCCCCCCTATCCTGGTGATGGCGAGTGCCGGGATATTGTCACTTGCTGACTCTCCTACTCAGCTCAGTGTTCAAGCCAACACGCCGGTGTGAACAATTCACGTGTGCAGGTGAAGGAGACGAGATGAGGTGAGGTGAGGTGAGGTGAGAGCACGACTCCACTTGAATCGTGGCTGATGACGCTAATTATTCTACGCCGCCGCTACGGCTACTCCCGCTTCCGCTTCCGSCCCTTCCAAACCAGCTTGCAGGACAACATCCACTCAATACATCAACGCCATATCTGCCGCCATGTTCTAAGAAGACGTGCCGCCTATTGCGGCCACCAGGACTTTGATCATGGCCACAAGGACATCCGCCGAGCAAGCCAGGCGGAAGCCGCCGCCGCTACAAACCCAACACTTGTCTCAGCAATCAATACCCCAGCTCGTCTCACCGATACCCC